CCCTTAGATATAAATATATGTTTAACGTAGACGTCGACCTCACGTGTAATACCATAGATGACGTTATAGAGATGTCATGTTTCATTTCATCGTAAACATGCCATGATGCCAACCCAACCATATGTTATAACCTAAAGTCGGCAGCAGACGATACTGTATAATTGCATGATAAATGTGCAACCTGCGACTTGCACATGTATTTTGTAGCGTCTGTGGGATGTTTATTGCGCTCATAGACCTTATACAATACATGAAATTGTATAAGGTCTATGATTGCGCTCGATAATTTTAATTTTAAATCATGTCGGCAAGTTCATTCGTTTGCCGCGTGTGGCAGCACATGTCCCGTCTTTGTTTTACTTTGTAGAGAATACATAATTCAAATTTATGAAGATATCAACAATTAAAAGTATTAAAATTAACCCTCTGAACACTTTGCATTTTCTACTGATGCTGTGAAAATATAAACTAATAAAAAAGATATAATTTTAAGTTATGTCTTGACGTTTCTAAGTTGACATTTTTGATATGCTTGCGCAAATACTTGAACTGTCTGTGTGCACTGTGCGCTTGGTTGTGCATTCATTCAGTTGCACATGTATACAGTAACGTCTGGTGCCGGCTTAAGAATGATGCCAGTGTTTCTTAAGCCATTACGACAAATAAGAATTTCAACTATAAACCCGCCTAGTTTGAACCACGTTCGAACACACTAAAGCCCATATGTTTACTTATCTATGCTAAAGCCCTCGCAAAGGCATTAACGATTGTAAACATTAAGGGATTATGTATGTATATATTATTGAATATATATTCTTGAAATGAATATTTGCTGCCAAATATATATATATATATATATATATATATATATACATATATATATATATATATATATATATATATATATATACAAAAAACTTTTTAGCAGGCATCCATCAAGATAATAGAAAGAAAACTAAGATATGTTTCTTAAATTAAATTTAATAGCTCCATACGTTTTGAGTTTCTAATTTGACTCTTCTTCAGTTGAAACAAAACTACAAAAAGTGGCAAAAGAGAAATATTTAAATTTAACATAAGATAAATCTAATATAAAAATATATAGTGTAAGAATGAAATGAAATAAAATGTAGAAAACTTACCACACAAGTAATAAACACAAACAAAAACAAGTCAAAACATCATATCTCGAAGAATAAAATACGAATGCAGTGGAAATAGCAAACATAATCTTCTTTTATCTATAATAGCAAATGTCAACATTTATAAAATTTTAAAGCCCGTAAGTTTTTCTTTCTAATAAGTAAGATTTTTGTTTCTTGTTTTATCAGCATATTTATCACTATCTGAAAAATTAATACATATTTTTAAATTTTTTTTTAACTTATCTTCAGTGCGAATATATATAAATAATTTTAAAAATTACAACATTCACAAACACAGATAAAAGAAATCCGCTCCATTAACATTGTGAAAAAAATATTGTTTTAAAAATATAAACTAAATATGAAGAACAATACTTAGATTGTTATTATTTATTGTAGTAATATAACACTTATATTGCTTGATTTTACTTATTCGGACCAATTCTGCTGTAAAATAGACCAATGTTTTGGCAAGGCTATATTACGCTGCGTTTTTCATATAAAATGGTCAGAATGCTATGTGGTTGCTGTGCAGTCAGGCATTTTAGATTTAAAACTTAATCTAGGAAACGCACAAACGTCAAAAAATAAATCTGAACATGAGTGCATCCTTCTGATATGTCATAATAACATATGACTGAAGTTACATTTTATGTATAAAACTCCTGATCGCACACCAAATACATATCATTTTGATAGTTTTGAGTATAATTTATAAGAAAAACGCAGCGTAACATAGCCTTGACAAAACATTAGTCTATTTTGCGGCAGAATTGGCCTGTTAGTTTAATATCGTGTCACGTTTAACCTGAAAACAGAAATTTATATGTAAAATAATGATACTAATAAAATGCACGTTTTGTAAAATTGTTTTATCAAAAATTATAAATTATTACAATTATTTTACTTACTTTTACTACTATATACATACATTAACATCTAAATAAATACCAAGTTAAAACATAAATCGCATTTTAAAATCATAAACATAATTTTTGTATTGGCTTATATCTAAGGACGACCAAAAGTAATAATTTATATTATTTGTATTTATATTTACAGTCTTGCATTAGTAAATATGTATTTACCTTCATGTGCTGTTTATTTTTGCCTGCAAAACTAATTTAATTAATTATTCATGAAAATTAACAACTTTCAGCATCTAATAAAGTATGAAATTAATGCATAGTGTATATGCAACTTAGCAAATATTTGATCTTATAATTTTATCTATACAAGGTTTTATGACCAATAATATAAATTTAAAATATCAGCGAAATCGTGCATAATTAATATATATATATATATATATATATATATATATATATATATATATATATATTATATTGAATACTGTTGAATAGTTATTGCGTTTTCCATTTGTAAAATTTGCATTAATGGCATTTACTTCAGGTAGATCATGAATTGATTCCAGGCGATGATTCTTCAAAATCATTAGAAAAATGCAATGAAAGCAGCGGCAGGGCTAGGCGAAGGCAACTATTGCGAACGCAGATATTAAACATCAAAGCATTCGAAATGTACTGATGATAAATCTGCACATTAGCTAAAAACATAAAATATTTGACTCTTTAAGTTAAGTATCTTATGAAAAATTGTCCATGTTTCCCAATGATTCATGCCTAGTCATAGAGATATTTTAAAAATTCAATAACTTATCTAAATGTAGACATATTAAAAACCGTGTATATATATTTATGAGAGATGAGAGATTAGATTTATTTCAGAGTAAGTGAAGTCGATTGCTTTTATTTATGAACTCTGTTAAAACATAATACTTGAAAAAACTATGTGATTTTTTAATTCAACTAGAAAATCTTTTTTGCGCTGATTCATTACTGATTATACTGTCCTGTATAATTATCAAATTAGAGGGCTATTTCTTATGCGGGTAAGTATTAACATGCGTTTTTCAATAGGATCTTTACGATATTGAAATTCATTTTTCAAATGTAATATAAAATTGTTCTATCATAAAACATCTAATTTCAAATTTTATATATGTTATTCCTTTTCAAATTTATCAATCTTTGATAATGTATAACAATTTTTGTGATTGCTAAATTCACATCTGGAATAAGTTAAAACAACATATGACTAAAGTTATATTTTATGTGTAAAACTCCTAATCGCACAGCAAATACATGCCATTTGGGGCTAGTTGTAACATACAAGAATTATATACAGATTAAAGTGAAGAAGATTAAATGGACCGTATAGTCTGTAAGATGTGGAGCATATGAAAATTGTGTTATATCTTTTATTTGTATTATAATAACAATTGCAGTTACGTTGATTTACGATAAAAAGTTATATTTAGTTAGAAACAATTCAATTTTCTTAAAAGTAAGTGAAAAATAAATTGTCAGAGGTATTATAGTTATTTTTTGTCTTTACTAGCAAATTATTAAATATGAAATAATGAACAATAGTTGTGGAATTATTTCTATCTGATTCGGTAAAGAAATTGTTACAGTAACTATCCACCGTTTTTTCGTAAAAATATAATCAGTAGATCTATTAATTGAAAAAAAACTGGTACAACCAGCCATTTAATAGCAAATACAGCAAAATGTTATAAACTTTAATTAAGAAAGATTTATACCGTATCTTGTAATAATGAAAACGTGTTTACATTTAAGAAAGAAATATATATTTTTAGTACTTTAGTATTTAGAACATTCGTTCTGACCATTCGGAGAGTATATGGTAAATACTGGTAATGTTAGAGTTAATCGCAAAGTTAAATTTGTGGCAACCACTACGCTTCAAATGCCTTATAATGACAACACAATTTGAGTCTATAATGTTAAAACAATAAACTCACATTCGTTTCATTCTCAAGCGCCCGTACGAAGTCCTGTAGATATATAATTTTTAATAAGTAATCCTAAACCAGGCGATTGTAAATATTGCTTGTTTTTCCTTATTCCACTAATAATATCGGCTGCCACATCAGCCCGCGTAAAATGCTTCCATTTGGTTTTTCCTACGGTTTGCTCAGCCACTGCTCGTACTCGAGTCAGACGAACCTGAATATGTAATGCTTTCAAAATATCACATAATAAAATTACTGTGTTAAGTTTGAAATTAGATAAAAAATAATGCAAATGTCAGCAGGGTGTCCGACTCACACGCCAGCTTATATTTTTATATAGAAAAATAAAGTGCTAAAATTGCAATGCTTAGAAAAATGTCAAACAGGTGAGCAACGAAGCTGATAAGGTTGGTTTAGTGAGCGCAATAAATAGACGCTAGAATGATTGTATCCAGTTTCTGTTTTTGAAGCATTCATGTTAATAGCATGAACTAGAATTTCAGCTATTGATAAATGTACACACCTGACAATTTGTACGGCGCAATTCCCTTAGTAGCGCCTCCGCTAATTGTTCACCGTCGGGTCGCCTCGCTATTCTGCCAGCCTCAGGTTCTTGAATAGGATAGGCAGACAGCGTGACTAGATGTCCGCTGTCGCGAGATAACATCAGCGGCAAAAACGCCAAAGCTAACTGTAACATTACCTTTTTAATTGATGATTAAAGGATAACAATGACGACATTCGACAAAAAACTACATTTAGTAAACGCATTGTGCCAAAAAAGCAACTGTTACTAGTACGGAATGTGCGTTATATGATTTTTCTAGCGCATGGTGAATGCAAGTCCTGCAGCTTCAGAGTTACGGCGGAAAAGGAGCTGAAGTCAGTCATTTCAGGGTATTCGAGATAAACATATTGAAATATTAAAATTAGTATAGTGTTTTGATACCATATATTCCTTTTTTGAATTCAACGTCAGTAAAAAAGAATTTTCAAAATAGTATACCTTTTACTATCCTTTATAAGTATATCTTTTAAGGGGACGTTTATGTGATTTTTACAAGCATGTTTTAAACTGCCCCCTCTCTCTTTGTGATACTTGTTGATATTTAAAATTAACCCCCCTCTACTCTACCAAAACCCACGTGTACTTTTAGCACCTACAAACAAACGAAATTTTTTCAAAAAAAAATGCACGCGATATTTTAATAGAGACTCTCTGCCCCTTATAATATTTCGTAAATTTTTATCAAACATCTTTATCTTTTAACAACTTTTAACTTTATCAATATTTAGTCTGAGCAAGGGTTGTTTTCGCATTTTAACTGCAAAGGTTAATATGTGTTTAGTTATTTATACTAATTCACATTCTAAAAAAGCTTGAGAATTGCTGGCATATACAACATATTGCAATTATTTGTCACGTACAATTTCTTAATTTAATCTTCTTTCCAAGACTGGTAGTTTTATGCACACAACATGAATAACTATCCATAAACACTTGAATTGCTGATAAATTTTATTATATAACGATATGTGCCGAGTTATTTTTCGCCATTTCCATAAATATCTTAGATTTATATATAAAAATTGCAGAACGTCATTAAAAGAAACATCCGTCATAACAAAAATATCAATAAATGTTTCATAATTGAATTTAAATCACTCTAATTATTTTAAGTTATACTTTTGCTAAGATAATTATTATATAACATACACCTCATTCACCATATTTCACGGATAATTAAATTGCTAGGCGATAATTTGAATAAAATATACAATCAACAATAAATGATAATTTATGCAGAAACCTAAGAAATAAAAAAGAGATGTAACTCGCACATTGTTCCGTACTATTAATTATAATGGTATGAACATTAATGAAATATATTATCACACATTATTAATATATACTAAAAATAAATGTTAAAATTCTTCATTCGCGCAAAACAAATTACGCGCAAAACAAGATACTTTTCAGTATTGTGAATAACGTTTTATCGAATCGATAACTCAAAAATTAAAATAAAGGATAGTTTTATGATTGAGTCAAAACTTTGTTTTATGGGAAAAATATTTCAACAAATATAATCGAAATGAACCAAGTGAATTACAGAAAAATATTTTCACGACTCCATAAAAATGAATGACTTTTACTATGAACTACTTATATCATCTCATACAATTCTTAGGCTGATGTAGTGCTTTCCATGTATGTAACCTTCAAAATAAAAAAAAATACAAATTCTGAATAGCATATTCACAGTACTATTCAGGAACCTCTTGAATGATTCTGAAAACATACTTACACTAAAATGTGACATAAGGTCCTTATTAATAGAATCTATGGTTGCTGCTGCACTTTCTGTTCCATGAGATGAATTTTGTATTAATCCTTCCCCAATGATCAGAAAATCTACACGTTCATATTTTTGGGTTATTTGTGCACAGAGCTGATTTGCGTTAAATGCCTCCTTGGACCATACAAAACTGCTTGTACTCGGATCACCGCCTGCAACATGTTTCTCGCCATATACTATAATTTTACGATACTAATTGCAAAATATGTACACAAAAGATGGAAAATCAAAAGTGAGTATTAAATTATCAATTGATATCACTATTGCCCACCTTAATGAATAATATAAAGCTATAAAGAGCACTTTTGGTTTGTATAATAATATTTGCCAATTTAAGTATACGATACAAAATGAAACAATATATAGGGGAAGTACGGACAAAATGACATGGTGTCTTGTTTTTTAGCGATATTTATTTAATGACATTATAACCAGTTTCATAGTTATACTATTGAATCATTAACTATCAATAACATAGTCGTTTAATTAAGTAGGAACTATATGTAATAACATATTTATTAAGCAAAAAAACAACTAAGTAAAAATATTATTTTGCCCATATTGTACGGACAAAATGGAATATAAGGTAAGGACATACTGAGATACTAATGATCAAAAATAAAGCATTTGGTCCTCTTTAGAAAATTGGTACATGACGCATGATACCAAAAGGAACAAACCATACATCGTAACATTCGTAACCGACCTTTGCCGGGTTTAGAACTGGAAAAGAAGTCTTTATAATAAATGTCTCTACTTTTTACCGGTGGATCCTTTAGACAGTTTTTAGAATTTATCAATTTTATTTTTTATTGAACTCGAATGAACTACCCTATAGTTCTTGCAAAATTGTACCATGTTGTCATAGACCTCATAATACATATGTATTTTCTTTATGTTTCCTAAATATACCTAATGAACGGATATCAGCAGCGAGCGCGTCGGCGCATGCTGCTGAATTGTCGACGCAGGCGACCAGGCAGCGGTGCCGGACGGACAGCTCGGTCGCCAAGGTCGCGACCAGCGGATGAGAACAGTTCGTTACCTGCAATTAAAACATTTAGTTAATTCAATTAATTGAACAACAATCAATTTGAACAATACAATATGATATAGTAATACTTTGCTTAACACGAGGTATACGAGTACATCGCATCAAAGTAGAGCGTAATGCGAAACGCTAAACAAAGCTATCTTTAAATGGAAATATTGGGATTAGGGAAAAATAGCTAGGAAATTGGTTAGGTATTAATTTTAAAAAGTATGTTTTTTTTTTAATAAAAATTAAACATACCATTTATTTCTTAAAGTCCAATTTAATACCTTGCAAGAATAACAACGAAATATAAACTAGTGGTGTAAGGCATAGTGCCTTAAGGCAAATTGCTGATACTTTCCGTACCGTAACAAAATGATCGAGGAATATTAAATGTTTTCATATAGATTTTTATAAATATTGTAATATTGTATAATATTTATAAGAATTATATAAACTGAATTATTTTCAATACACAAAAAAATTGAAAAACTAATGGGGCATGGCATCGTGCCTTAAGGCACATTGCTGGAACTTCCCGTACTAATAATTATTTTCTTTTTTTTGAACAAAACATTTTCGAAAAAAAACTTTAAAAAATTAGATTTTTGAGAAACTATACAACTTTGACAAAAATTTACCTTTTTTGAAAAAAAGACTTTTTGAAACAAAATGTTTTCTTTATTTTGAAATATTTTGGAAATTCTGAACTTTTTTTCAAAGCAATCGTACTGCTTTGACAGCATAGAGACAAAATATCAAAGCGCGTAAGCGCCGCGTTGCCGTCTAACGGATAAACATTGGTACGGAACCGATAGGAATGTAAACAAAATTTATACTTACTGTTAAAATCTCTATAAAATATCAGATAATTTGATGTGCATATGTCTAATGACCATTTTTGACCGCCAAATGGCTTTTTTTTACTTTTTTCACTAGATCTCCGAAACCGATAGAACTGCCTTCATAAAAATTTAATCAGTTCTTCATCTTGGCAATACAAGTAAAACGTTTTTTGTTACCGTTTGTGGCACTTTATGCCCCGTATCTTTGAAACGGCTATACCTGCCTATGCCAAAAACTAATCAGCACGTCTCCTTATTTAGAGCAATCGATTGTTTTTTGAATAATTGAAATCGCTTGATCCGTGTTCCCGAAATCGTCGACGAAAATTTGTATCCGCACACACATCCGCATACATCCATTTTTTTCTAACAATAAGTTATGCTAAAATGTTTAGAAGGTTTTGAAACGTAAAGATATATAAAAATTTTCATTTTCGATTTTTTGCGATTACTATAATTTACCCTACGGGAAGTTAAAAACTAGTAGTGCATGGCATCGTGCTTTAAGGCAAATTACTGGAACTTTCCGACCCAAAAATTATTTAAAAAAAAAAACGTAAAATTTTTTTAAAACTTTAAATAAATTAAATTTTTGAGATAAACAAAACCCATACAAAAAAACATACATTGTACGTATTGAAATCTCTATAAAATATCCGATAATTTGATGTGCATATGTCTAATGATCATTTGTAGCGTTTTTTTTTACTTTTTTTTATCAGCCTTTCCAAAAATTTAATCAGTTCTTCCTTTCGTCAATACAAATAAAATATTTTCTGAATCATTCAAATCGGATGCTCTGTTTTCTCAAAAACTGAATTGCAATTTTCGACATTTTTCACCCCGTATTCTCGAAACGGTTGGACCGGCCTTTATCTAAAACTAATCAGCGCGTCTCCCCATCAGTAGGAATCGAATATTGTTTAAACAATTCAGTTCGGTTGATTTCAAAATCGTCGATAAAAAATTGGATCCGCACACACACACACATACATCAATTTTTTCTAACAAGAAGAACCCGCGCATTGCTCGTCTCGGATTTTGATGAAATTTGGCACAGTTGTAGATTTTATGCCCAAACTGACCATGGTAAATCATTAGAGGCCTATGAAAAGCGGTTTAATTATAAAAGGTATGCCAAAATGCTGACAATGTATCAGAACCTGCAACAGAAAAGATTTTGTTTTCCAGTGAATGCGAAAATCTTTTTATCTAGCATCAATATTGATATATACAAAATTATATATAACTCTATTCATGATAATAAGATCAATTTATAAATTCTATTTATGATTAATAATTAATATATAATTATGATTAATAATTAATAGTTTATCAACACACAAAATGTAAATAAAATTATGTGAATATGTGAATGGCTTAAACGAAAGATCCATAGTCACTTAAAATAAATAAATAAAAAAGAGTGTGCTATACTAATTCAATACTATTTATTTGTTCGATTGAAAACAATAAACCCCATACCTACTGTAATTGAGTCTGCGAAAAATCTAATTCATTATTGTTATAGAAGAGTATATTCGAATTCCCAGCAAACTTATCTTAAGGAACGATTTCGAGTAGAAATTGGACATTTTTCGTTATAATATTTATACTTTGCATACGAGTATACTTACAAATACTGTAAATGAAACAGAAATATTATTAGATACGGTAACTTTTGAAATAGAGAATTATTTCTACCGTTATTACCGTGTATAAAATGCCGACAGATCTATTGCATGTAATAAGTAGTATACTTATGATAAATTACACATAAACAATTGTTCATGTGCAATGACGTTTAACATTTAGAGAGCTTTTACATATGAACGGCAATAAGCAAATTGTTAGTATTATTTCAATAATAAACAAAAGCTTCAGTCATTTCATAAAGCAATACAAGCCATTAGCAAGACTTTTAGTCCTTTTTCTTTATTTAATAAAAGAAATATACAGGACAGATTGTTCGGAGATAAAAATGTAAAGTGATCATAAGCGCATTATTTTGAAATTGTAGCAAAGACAATAGTACTGAATATGTAAATTTAAAATAATTTAAATAATTTAAAACATATAAGTATTTTAAATTGTCATCAGCCAATATTTACAGTTTGACAATGGTAACTTTACAAATAATTTAAAACAATCGTTAATTTTATATTTTGTTCAATAATTATACTTGAGTTGGCATAGGTAAAAAAATAGGGTTTAAAAGTCTGCGGGTAAAAAGCTCCACGACCAATATCTCAAAAACAAGTAAAATTAAGAATTTTTTAACAACAATATTTGAAAGTAGAAGGCAAAATATATGTAATCAGCCATCGACTTAAATCAGACAGCAAAAATTTTTTGTTTGTTGTTAGCTTTTTTGGTTGTAATCACTGTTGTTTAATAAAAACTAAGTATACATCATTTAATTGTTTCAGAAGATGTATTTTTATTTTTTATGTTAGATTCGATAAATGTTTTTATGTAACTTTGATAAAAGCTTACATGTGGGTGGGGTGAAAAGGGCCAATTAAACCTATACCCGGGCAAAGAAGTAAACAATAAAAAACAATTTTCCAGAAAATATGTTGAATTAATAGTTATTCTAATTCTGTTGATTACTATTTCTGACAAAATACCAGATCAAGGTTATATACATTGTTATCTTTGTAAAAAATGTGTCCATGAAATTTATACTTTGTATAGGTTAAATATTGTATATTGTATTTTGTAAAATCTCTTTAAAATTAAAATTGAAACATTGGATCTGTTTGCCACCTGACTGCCCTATTTTACTCTGCCTTTGGGATAAAAAGCACCAGGTGAAATTTTCTTGAAAAATAAGAAAAAAACATATTTCTAAAATGAGTTAGCAGCGAATTTTACTGAACATAGTATTGTAGTTGTTTATTTAGTACGTATTATGTGATGTGCTGTATTTTAGCATACCCTACTGTAATTTACTAATTGATAGAAATTCTAAATAAACATTTTGATTATATTTCTAAGTATCACATTGGGCAATTTGAAAAGTATGAAGAGATAATTTATTAATTTTGGGGTAGGATTTTCTTTTAATATTTGGTCATTTCATGCATTTTTAACTTAATATTATATTTTAAATTCAAAATTGATGTTATTAATGTGGTTCTTAATAAATCGAGCCAATTTTGAAGAAAACTTAATGTCTGTGCAGATAATACTAAAATGCTGCAAAAACCGTAATGTTCCGTTATTAGTTTTTCTACAAGATACAACTAATTACGCAATTATAATTGACCTATTGAAAAGAAAATGCCATGCAAGTAATATATAATATATTATGGGAAAAAATATTCAAATAGCTTTGGAAGAATTAACAAATACCACAACAACTTTTCCTTCAAGCGACTTCTGGGCGGTGGGAAGCAGATACCTCAGAACAACTCTTAGCGCCAGCAGCGCCGCAAGCAGACCTGCGGCGAACAGCTCCAGATACAGCCAAAGCTTGCGACTCGCCACGGACATGTCGCGATCTGGAACAGAAATGGGAAAATGTTAAAGATATTAATAACTAGTGGTACCTAAAATACCATACTTACATACCATAATTTCAAAATTTTAAAAGCTATTCAGTTGTTTGAAAACTTGGTAAAAATTTGATTTTTGAGAAATTTGTTTTTGAGAATCGTTTTAGAGACGAAATAACTAAACGCGTAAGCGCCGCATGATAGTCTAACTATTAAACATTATAAATCTTGGTACGAAATCAAATATCTGATAATTTTATGTGCATATGTCTAATAATCATTTTTGACTGCCAAATGACAATTTTTTTACTTCTTCATTGTATTTCCGAAACCGCTAGACCTGCCGTCAAAAAATGTTTACGTATTTCGCCTCGTTTTCTCAAAAACTTAATTGCCAATCCTGCCGTTTGACAAAGGCAGTTCCTGCCGTTTCGGAGATACGGCGCAAAAAGTGAAAAAATAGCAGTTATTAAGACAACGGATCATCTAATTCAAAAAACATTTTGCTTGTATTGATCAAATGCAGAATTGATAAAATTATGGTAAGGCAAGTCTAGCAGTTTCGGAGATACAAAAAAAAGTAAAAAAAAAGATATTTGACGATCAAAAATGATCATTAGACATATGCACTTCAAATTATCAGATATCCTATGAACATTTTAAATATGTGGACTAATTTTGTTACAATTTTGTTGGGTTCCGTACCAAGATTTTCAATTTTTAAAGTTCACTTTCAGTTCAAACAAATTTCAAAATTTTCAGATTTTTTTTTCGAAATTTACAAAAATACGTATGAAAATACATAAACTTCAAATTTACAATTCAGTTTAAAAATGTATATATATTTTACTCGTAAGAAATATATCCTCAGATGGATTCATTCGGCATTTTTAAGTATTTTGGGCGATAAGATCGTCACTATATATTATAAGAATGGATAAATATATAGTAATATTAATTGTGTCTCTGAAAATATTCAAAACAATTGTAATTATTTATTGATCAATATTTATTGATTTTTTTTTTTTTTCTCGAATATTTATTCTGGTTCGTTGACCATACGTCCCGGTTTGGCCGGGACAGTCCCAGATTTTCACCTTGTATCCCGGAATTTTCTAACAGCAATATTTGTCCCGGATTTAGATCTTTTGTCCCGGATTGTCCCGATTTTTTCGAAAATTAATACGAAAATTAACAAAAGGTATGAAAAAATGAACAAACGCTAATTCTTTCAAATTAGTCATGAAGAATATTGTATAGAATTATATACAAGGCTCAAAAGCGAAACAACGTGAATATCATATATACAAAAAGTATCACATATAATCGAATAATAATAAAAAAAGTTCTTGAATCATATAAATAAAACTTGTTTTTTAAATTGTATCTTTAAATAGCGTTTGTTAGAGGCCCACGACCCCGTCCCAGTTTTGATCTCAAAAAATATGGTCACCTTACTTAAGGCACGATGCCATGCACCACTAGTTTTATTATATATTCTTATCACATTAGTTATTATTTTTATATACAAAATGTTTAAGTTGCTGGTATCAAGAATATATATTTTGATATAAAAGCTAGCATTAAATATAATAATTTTAGCAAGTTATTATCATCTCACTTAGATATTAACAATTATGCAGAATGGAAAAACTAAAAATGAGTAACACGATGAAAAGTTCTCATCAGGCACTAGCAATTCTTTGCATTATCGGGCGTAGGATTAGCAGAAGAATGGGCTTCGCACTTTATATACATGTATATATTAAAGCTAAAATATGAAAAAATGAGCAAATTATTGGTGCATGGCATCGCGCCTTAGGCAAATTGTAACTCGTAAATTATAATTTTTAAAAAGTTTTTTTTTGAAAATTTTGATTTTTTTTAAACGATCACGCTGCGTAGCTGTTTCATGGCGAAATCCCAAAGCCCATAAGCGCCGTTTCTCAGCCTCGGTTAAACATTATAAATATTGGTAGGATTTATTTTGAGATATTTCTATCAATATTAATAAAAATATGTTAAATTATTAAAAATTATGCTTTTAATACACTAGAAAGTACAATAAAAAACAATGATATCAATAAAAAACAATGATATCCATGGACGACATTCGTAGCGAAAAAATTAAAAGTATTAACCCTTTTAAAACTGACCCAATGATTGGCAATAAAATCATTGGCAGCCGATAATCAAAAAACTTTAATTTCAATTTTTGTTTCACATGAGAAACTTCTCCCGACTGGAAATTAATATTAATTTGAAACAAGTTTCAGATGTCATGTTACCAAGATAAAATTACGTAAACCATTAAAAGTAATTAATGCATTAAATTTGAATTATACATAGTTGATTTAATGCTAACTTTTTATGCAGTAGTTGGTCTTATTCCAAGGCCACCATATTTATCGCATTAATTATACTTAATTAGAATAATAATATAAATTGTAATTTTTTTATATTTTGTATTTTATTTTTTTCATAATTTTCTAAGTATATTTTTGAGAAAAGAGCATTTATAAGTATTGATGCTTTAGTAAAACAAAATAAGGAATAATATAAAATTAACCCCAGCAATTAAACCCTACTATTTTTGTTTTGTTGTTCGTTTAAATGTGAGACAGTTACATTTTCTAAACGACAAAGATATTAGAACTTCAATATGAGGAATATGACAAGGATCTAAAATTTAGATCCTTCATATTTAAATTTTAAATATAAAATTTGGTAAAAAAAATAGAAAAAATAATTTTTTATTCTAATTCAAATATTTCAAAAAAATGTAATAAAAAATAGGCACGTTCTACCAACTTTCAACTCATTTCAGCAGAAAACAAAGAAAAACGCACAAATGAAAAGTCTAATATTATAATTTTGCAAATAATATATGTTTATATATTTATATTTCACATGTAAATTAGTGCAAATAGTATATATCATACGTTTTCAACACAAAATAACATTATTCCATAAATTTATAGAGTCATCGATATAGAGAAATAATGACTTTGTAACAGTTCAAGGTTCAGGATATCAGATGAGGTGTGGTGCCATTAAGTTTCCAACTGCTTAGTAGATCGCTAATTGATATAATGTCGAATAACCATACACATAGGTCAAGGATGAGTGTTGCATTATAAGTTAATTTTTCATAAATTGTGGTTAAATTTTGTGCGATTCTTTTTATGAGCGTTAAAAATTGATTTTATACATGAATAATAATTTTCAATTAAATATTTAGACTTAAAATTATTGAATGAAATGAATTATTGAATTGAATCTTGAAATTCAGAAGAAATTCAAATTGTCTTTATATTTTTTACAATATTTTACAATTTAGTTTGCAATAATAGAAAGTATTGAACGCTAACCATTGAAGTCATCTGTGATGAAAAGGATTTTTTTAAGGAAAACTTTTTTGTTTTTTATTACTTTGTGGATTCTTTGTTCGAAGCTCTACAATATATTTACAAATACAAGACTCTACCATCTAATATATAAATATTTATATAGAATGTATACTTAATGGTATAAATCAACTGAAAAATAAAAACTCTTTTTCACGTAACAATAATTGGCAACATTAATTTCTGAAAGGAAAACTAGTTTTCATGAATATTTTGTTTAATACCGGTATCGAAATATATGCACCAAGTTCTTGTTAAGAAATATAAACTAAAATTAGTATGTACTTTCAATTCTAGTTTATTTTCTGTGTAATATGTGTTGGCAAAAGTAAAATGCAAATTATGGGTCTAAACCTGCATTACAGGTAAGTACATCGCCTCGAGTCTCCACGCAAGTTTGCACTACATGCGCTATGACGAAATATTTATTTTTATTAGCTTTCTAATGAACATTTTGTTTCTTACAAAATAATTCATTTGCTGACAAACTGGTTGTAACGTATCGGGAAAAAATCCGAATACTATGCTGGCGTTCCATATTATATAAGTATTGACTTATTGCAAGAAATTCTGCTCAAATGTGAAAAGTATTTTGTTATATTTTATTTTACAAATTATTCACTTGAAAAATTGCGTACCTATAAAAGTAAATTAATACATCATTTTTAAAGAATTAAAACTGAAGTTTTTTATACGAAACCTCAAAAGAGCAATGCACTACAATTTCAGTTTATTGAAGTAGGGTAGGCACAATGAGCAAGTATATTATAAAAACCAAACCAATTATATTAATTTATAGCAAACAAACAACTATCTGAATATGTTCAGTAAAACTCCTAGCTAAATTAATATTGTAGAAAAGTGCTCTTTCGTTGGGTTTTTGACCAATTGGGTTGGGTGACAAAAATTTGTCACCTGGTCTACCCCATAGACAGGGCAAAAAGGGACAGCCAGGGGGCAAACAAGTTCAATATCTTATTTTTAATTTTAAATGAATAACAAATTATTTAATTTATCTCTTGTAAAATTACTTTTTTAACTAAAATTAAATTTTTGTTTACTATTTTTATTGTTTATACGGGGTAAAGATTCAGTTGGTCCTTTTTACCCCAAAAACGACGTAGCTAGGTAAGTTACAACAGCTATAAGACTTTTAAGTTCTTTTATTTTTGGAAATAAGTTAACGAATTTTTTGTGTATTCAGTTGCAAATTGTAACCTATAGCATCAACATTTAATTATGTTTTTCCAAATAATCAACAGACTATCTACAAGTTCCTCAGCTGCGCCTAGCACCCTTCACCGTCATTTCTAATATATAATTATATAAATTTACGTTCCCATCAGAAAGTACAAGGCCGCAAGAATATTATTGATAGATAGTATAAGCGCGAATAGCGATTTATTATGCCAAATAAAATTAGAGGCGTTTGCCAGATTTGCAATTTTGATTATTCAATTCCTTCTTTGGGACCTTGATCTTCTGCGAGAGTTCATAATCCCATCGGGTTTTTGGTATTAACTCACACGCCCATACGGAACGATCCAGAACAATCAAATCTCGTCTTGACACGCAAGACTTATTTTGATAATGCGGACA